TGTTTGTGTGTGTGTGTGTGTGTGTGTGTGTGTGTGTGTGTGTGTGTGTGTGTGTGTGTGTGTGTGTGTGTGTTCTCTCACAAGTTGCGGTGTGTCCTGCAGCAGTGGTAGGAGCGTGGCCTCCAGGATGGCAGTCTGCTCTGAGCTGAGCCCCTGCCACAGGGACAACAGTAGGATGAGGAGGTGAGTGGCGCTCCGCAAACGTGTAAAAGCTTGGATCAAACGCTCCCGGTTGTCTTCTGCTGCATCTGCTAATGCTATAACCTGACACAGAGACAGACAGAGAGAGAGAGTTTCAAGTTAACGGTACAACTAACTGAATTGTTGTCCTGACTTTACGGGCTTCATGATTAACGTCTTATATTACATTTTTTTCAATGTAAAATAAACCAAAATTATATTTAGCAAAAAAAATTAAGCTTATTTTTAGGACTTTTAAGATGCATTGCAATATTATTTTGATGACAATTAGAGTATGCACACTATGCTCCACCTCGTATCTTTAATAAAGAAGAGTTTGCAAGAGTTTCTTTGAAATCACCTTTATTCTCAGAGGTAATTCCCATGAGATTATCATTACTGTAGCAGTATTTAGCACTACTTAGAAGTCACGAAAATGAGAATGCACAATCATCCTAAAAAATAATGTCATAATGCAAAGACTTTACTGTCTTTTGGTGCTTGGAGATTTTGGAGTTAAATATTTCCTGTAAACTTCACCCTAAGATGTCTCTTGTCATAAGCAAACTGAAAAATGAAGCGGGTCTTGGTGTGGGGTATACTCTTAAAAATAAAGGTGCTTCAAAAGGTTCTTCAAGCGATGCCATAGAAGAACCATTTTTGGTTCCACAAAGAACCATTCAGTCAAAGGTTCTTTAAAGAACCATCTCTTTCTTACCTTTTTGTAATCTGAAGAACCTTTTTTCGCCCCAAAGAACCTTTTGTGAAACAGAAAGGTTCTTCAGATGTTAAAGGTTCTTTATGGAACCATTTAGACAAAAAGGTTCTTCTATGGCATCGTGAAGCACCTTTATTTTTAAGAGTGTACAATGAACCGTTAGTGTTTCGCTTAATGATTTTTTTCCTTTCTTTCTTTTTTTTAATACAGTTCAATGAAAAGTGGGATATGAGAGGCTGTTGAAAGAGAGAAAGGAGTACAGCTAAACAGAACAAGGCAAAAGGGGAAAAAACATAAGAAACAGACAGCAAAAAAAGTCCAAGCATAGTGCTTACTGACTAACGTTAGCTAAAAATTAGCCCATCATTCAGGCCTGATAAAGTTATGCTCTTGGAGAGCAGACCTCACCTGTACAGTCAATCATATTTTGCCTGAAACCATAAGGCACAGAGCACAAAAAACACACTGAAACAGTGTCTGAGAGAGACAGCTGCTATTAAAGATCAGTGTGTATTGATAAAAAGGTCTGAACAGCCAATCTAAATAGACCTTCAGTGAAGGAGTTTTTGTGAGTGAGAGTACAAGAGTCGATTGATGCCAGCTGGGCAAAAACAAAATCACACAGGAGAGAGAAAGAACTACTACACGAAGAAGAGAAAGTCACACCCTTGAGAAAAGATGGCAGTTCTTTAACTTTCTAAGTGAAGAACAGTATATTCAAATGCTGAATTTTAGCTCAGGAAGAGAATAATACAAACTTTTTTCTTTATCTATTTAAGTGCCTTATTCAATGTAGAAAATAAAATTAAAAAAAATGTAGAAACAGGAAGTGGGTTTTCATTATGTACAATGTTAAGTATCACTTAAGATGAGTTAGATTAGAAACCACTATCTTGAAGAGCTCAAATTTGCTGTTGGTTAGAAAAGAACAGACATGAAACAGCTGGCAGAACCGTTAGACCCATCAGTGTGGTCACCACTTACCCATGGGCACATTCTACAAAAATTATATACTCTAAAATTACCCCAAACCATTTTGAAATGTAACATTTTAAGCCCAAAACAAACCCCAGCCAATGCAAAAGACAGGCAAGAAAATGCTTTATTCCCTGAGGGATGTAGCCAAATATGGAGAAACAGAAATATCTGTGCAGTCAGGATAAACAGATTTTTTTTTATATATAGTTCTTCGTGGGATGTCATTAGTCAGTGGTCTTGTTCATACCCTCAGGAGAAAGAGACCTGTTGAAATACAGCACTTTACTGCTGAAGCTCTCATCATCAGACTTGAGTTGAGGGATGTAGCCAAATATGGAGAAACAGAAATATCTGTGCAGTCAGGATAAACAGATTTTTTTTTATATAGTTCTTCGTGGGATGTCATTAGTCAGTGGTCTTGTTCATACCCTCAGGAGAAAGAGACCTGTTGAAATACAGCACTTTACTGCTGACGCTCTCATCATCAGACTTGAGAACCAAAATAACATGAAACTCTTGAAAAAGCATCAGCAACATGGTCTGGAGCCATAGAGCCCATCTGCCATAGTGGTGAATAGCAGGGGCATCATGCACATTTGAGGGGCCACAAGTGGAAGCCCCTTTGGTGTCCTGGGCACTCTTTTTAAAAACAACACAGTGACTTTTCAGTTGGGTGTAAATCAACTGAAGCTACCAAATTTAGATTTAAGATTACGGCCACTAAAATGAAAAACTACAATTATGCATAATTAATTTTCAAAGAAAGTATTTATTTATTTGTATTTTTTTCTAAAATCTCAGAGGGCATGTGCCCCTCTGTTTGAATGGACGTGGCACTTTTGGTGAAGAGCATAAGTTTCCATGGGTGAATCTCACAAAATCTTAAGAACGTTACAGTCAAATTTTGCATGTGATCAATATTTACATTATTAATAAAACACAAATATTATAATGTTGATTTGACCCCAAAAATATCTTAAAAGAAAGGTCTGGCCACAATGAAATACTAGTGAAATATTATTGCAATTTTAAATAACTGTGTTTTCTAATTTTATATATTTTAAAATGTATTTTATTTCTGTGATGTAAAGCTGAATTTTCAGCAGCCATTACTCCAATCTTCAGTGTCACATGGTCCTTCAGAAATCATTCTAATATACCGATTTGCTTCTCAAGAAACATTTTTTCGTAATATCAGTTTTGAAAACAGTCGAACCATGAAGCAATTTTTTCACGATTCTTTGAATAATAGAAAAAACTATTGGAAATAGAAATCTTTTATAACAATGCACTGTAAATGTTTTTACTATTATTTTAGATACATTTTAAACATCCTTGCTGAATAAAACTATTAATTTCTTTAAAAAAATAAACACACATCTTGAACAGTAGTGTACAAATACAGTATATGGAAGCCCTGCCATATCTACAATTTTCACTATGAAGACACTATGTATTAAAACACATTTATAGCAAAAATACAAACGTAGCACACTGATGTAATTCTGAAATGTGAAATTCTGATGTAACATTTAAACATTTATAATAAAAATAATTTATTGCGGCAACGTTTCGACCATCAGGTCTTTGTCAGGCACAAATTACGTGAAATGGTCACAAATCAATACAGGTCAAATACAAATCTTAAACTCGAAAAAACTAACAAATCAATACAGATCAATAATCACTCAAAATATTCAAACAATACTGAAGACAGATGAAAAAATACACACAATCCTATAGAAAAGGCTTAATATCAAAATCTGCATTCAACCCAAAAGGTGACAACGTATTTAGAGTATAAATCCAAAAACATTCCCTTTTTAAAAGTTTCCTCTCAAAATCTTCCCCCTTGACGTTTTTTGTACCTTCTCTATATCAATATACTGTAAGGCACTAACATTGTGTCCCATTTTGTTAAAATGAGATGCTATAGGACTGCGTTCAACTCCCGTCCTAATATTACTCCGATGTTCAGTAATGCGGGTGCATAATGATCTAGAAGTTTTAGTGAAGTGACACGTGACATGTGGCCAAGTATGGGTCAGAGCTCTGCATTTAACCCATTCAAAGTGCACACACACACAGCCGTGAACACACACCCGGCGCAGTGGGCAGCCATTTTTGCTGCGGCGCCCGGGGAGCAGTTGGGGGTTCGGTGCCTTGCTCAAGGGCACCTCAGTCGTGGTATTGAAGGTGGGAGAGAAGGTTCCCTCCCCCCACCTACAATCCCTGCCGGTACGAGACTCGAACCCACAACCTTTGGGTTACGAGCCACGACTTCCCCCTAAAGCACTCCCTGCTCCCCTCTGCCAAAACCCGGGATTGAACCAGGGACCTTTAGATCTTCAGTCTAACGCTCTCCCAACTGAGCTATTTCTGCCTTTTACCAATGTAAGCGAGACCACACGTACAACGAATAAGATAAATCACATGTGTAGATGAACAAGTAATTGTACCGCATATCAGTATGTTACGACCAATGTGTGGATGGCTGAAAGATTTACATTTATATGTAAAAGTACACTGGGCACAACTGCCACATCTATAATTACCAGGAGGAAGAGTAAGAGTGACAGGTTTCACTACACTAGATGGGAACTCCGATCTTACAAGCATGTCACGCAGGTTACTTTGACGTTTAAAAACCAAACGGGGGCCATTCTTGAAAACATGAGACAATTTAGAATCACTAGAAATAATATGCCAATGCCTGTAAATAACCTTACGAAATTCTGCACCTAATGCTGAATACCTAACCGAACAAATAGGGCTATTGCCTAGTTGTGTTTTATTGCTCGTAGCACGTAGGCACTGAGTTTGAGATATATCATCAAATTTACTCTTAGCTTCTTCTATCCATTCCCTACGATAACCACGATGTAGAAATCTTAAGCACACGCTTAAACTGGCTAATAGGCAGGCTTTTAATAAGAGGTTTTGGATGGAAACTATCACCTCTTAAAATCGTATTACGATCCGTTGGTTTACGATACAATTCAGTTTGAAGTTTACCCTCAGAAATGTGTACCTTTACATCAAGAAAACTGATATTCTCTGTATCACGCTCCATAGTAAACTTCAAGTGTTCAGTTCTAGAGTTGAGATGATTCAAAAACAGCAACAATTCAGCGGGTGTAGAATTCGTTATCATAAAGATGTCATCAATGTAACGTTTATAAAACATTATCTTAGGTAAAAAAGAATTTGATCACTGAGGGATGTATTTGGAAATGAACTCATTTCCAAATACACCCATATACAAGCAGGCATAATTTGGTGCCATTTTACTGCCCATTGCTGTTCCCTTCACTTGTATATAGTAATCATTTTGAAACCGAAAGTAATTATTAGTCAAAACAATGTTTATAAGATCCAGCAAACATGC